CAAACACAAGCACACGCTCACGCGCCCGCACATACACAAACACACACATGAACTCACACACACACATACACACACACACACACACACACATACACACACATACGCACACACATACGCACACACATACGCACACACATACGCACACACATACACACGCATACGCACACGCATACGCACACGCACACACATACGCGCACACACACATGCACACACACATACACACACATACACACACATGCACACACACGCATACACACGCATACACACACTCGCACACACTCGCACACACACGCACACACACGCACACACACGCACACACACATACACACACATACACACACACATACACACACATACACACACACATACACACACATACACACACATACACACACATACACACACATACACACACAAACACACACAAACACACACAAACACACACAAACACACACACGCACATGCATGCAAACACACATACACACACGCACACACATGCACACACACACACATATACACACATACACGCACATACACGCACATACACACACACACGCATTCACACATACAAATGCACACTCACACGCATGCACACACACACTGTTAATTAAGTACAAATAACACAGGCTTTAAACACTGAAAAGCCAGGGCACACACACACGCACGCATACGCACACGCGCACAGGCACATGCACACAGGCACATGCACACAGGCCATGTGGGCATCCGAGGAAAGGAGCAAGTGGACCTCCTTGCGAAAGAATCCTTGTCCCTTCTGTTGGGATCAACGACAAACACTCTCCCACTGACTGACTTTAGAAATAAAGTTTAAAAAACTGCATCTCCAGTCTGTAGGAGACACAATGGAAGAAACAGATAAACAAAACTTCACAACATTATGCTCACACTGGGTCCACGAAAACCTTGGGTCCTCTCCAGAAGAGACGAAGTAATTTTTACTCGATTAAACATCGGACACACGTCCCTGACACATAAATACCTCCTTCAGTGAGAAGAGAAACCGTTCTGGGTCGGATGCGACTCAGATTTCACCACTAGACACATTTTTACAGAATGTCCAGACTTTGGAGAGAAACGAAAGAAGGATTTTAAATGCAAAAAAAATTGCATCCCAACAGAATTCTCGATTTTATACAGACCGTTGGCCTTTACGGCACACTGTAAATAACGTTGTTTTAAATTTTGTTTGAATGTTCTTTTAAAAAAACTGGGATTTTTTACCCTGAATTTTTAGCCGTTTAATCTAAGTCATTGACTTAAACCTAGCCGCCCTTTGACCTGTTGTGAATACAAACCCAAACTAGGACCGCGAAATCCTTCGGACCTCTCCAGAAGAGACGAAGTCGTTTTTACTCGATTACGAATGGGACACATGCCCCTAACTCACGAATACCTCCTTCAGGGAGATGAGAAGCATTAGACACATTTTAACCTAATGTCTAGACTTCGGAGAGATCCGAAGGAAATACTTTAAATGTAAAAAATTGCAAGACATTTTTTCCGTCGTTGATCCCAACAAAATTTTGAATTTTATGAAGGCCATTGGCCTTTATGGGAAACTGTTGAGCAAATCGAATTATTAAAATTTTTATGTTATTTAGGAAAGTTGTTTTAAATTGAAAATATATATCAAAACCGAATTACAGCCGTACAGTGAACTGCGAATAAAACTAATCGCGCGCTCATATGAACTTATGCAGTTACGAGCGTCGTAAAACCCCATACTGAACTAACTGAAAGTTTCAAAGAGATCTTCATACTAAAAGTATTCTAAAATGTGAAGAAAACAACCTCGGGGGTATAAAATGACCCCAGGGCGTACGGGTAGGGTTAAGTGACCAAAGTACCGCGTAAAATAGCTACAGCAAAACGTCGTGAAACAAAAAGCCACCAGAAGATGCAGGGTTGTAAAGAGAGTTTCACTCACGCACCGTATGTTTTTCTTTTGCAGGTCGGCCTGAAGCTGGCCGAGACCAGCCCCCTATGCTTCCTGCAATGCCTGTGGGACAGGCGGATCAGGCGGATCCTGCAATGCCTGTGGGACAGGCGGGTCCTGCAATGCCGGTGTTGCAAGCGGATCCTATGCAAGTGGACTTACACCCTGACCGTCCTGAGCTTGCAATGCCGGTGTTGCAGGCTGATCAACCACTGGCAGCGAACAACGTAAGTTTTTGTTGTTGTTGTGGGATTTGTAAAGTTTTTTTGATTCTGTATTTATTCTTTTTTTTTGTGTGTTCTTTTTAAAATGTTTTTTCCCCTCTTTCTTGGTTTTCTTTTGTTTTAGAGGTAAACAGCGCCTACAACTGCGTTAAGGTCGTATTTTTAGAGTAAAGACCAAACATTGAGACCTCTGTTAGGATCAATGAAGGAGAACAAATTCTTCAAATCAGTGCGTAAAAAAGTAATTCCTTCAGGTCTCCCCAAAGCCTGGCAAATTCCAGGTCACCAGATGGGCATCGCATCTGACACAAAGTTAATGTTCCAATCTTCCCAATGGATCTTGGCAACCTGTTGTTTCCCATTTTTATTCAGATATCTACATGTATATATAAATTCCACTTTTTACTTCCAACATTGTATACCTGATATTCCGAATTTAATGGGATTTAATTTAGATTTTATAAAAGTTTTGAAATAGATTGTTCGAAATTAAGTGTTATTTAGAAAGTTGTTTTAAATTTAAATTTAAATCTAAAGCCTATTTACACTAGATTTTTAGCGTTTATAAATTTTTTAATAGAAATATTGACCAGTATCAAGCCGAGAAATGAACTGTTGAGAAAAAACCTTGTTTCGCACGCTCATATGACCTTAGGCAGGTGCAAGCCTTCCATTTTCTAACATAAAACTGTCATTCTCATTTCGCCTTTTTTGTAATAGAAGCTGATTAGTTAGGATCTGTTCTTAAATATTATTAGTGGGTGGTTGGTGGGTGCTCCGGTGTGGTTTGCTTCTTTCCAATCAAACATCTATCGTCCTTGTCTCCCCTTCTTTTATGTTTGTTACTCTCTTGTAACACCCCTAATCTTCTGGCGCTCATATGACCTTATGCAGTTGCGAGCGCCGTAAAACCTCTACTATAACTAACTAAAATGTTCTTTAAATCTGTTTTCAGCTTGGACAATGCCAGGAACTTACTCTAGTCAGCGGACGCCGTCGACTTTGCAAAAGGAGACGGCGTCTATCACAGCCTTACTGCAGGCAGCACAGTAAGACTTTCATATTCTCATTTGGCTTTATCAGCGAAATATAAATTTTAAATTGTTTGCTACATTTCTGATTGATTAGCATCGTGTGTGTATGTGCTTGTGTGTGTATATGCTTGTGTGTGTGTGTGTGTGTGTGTGTGTGTGTGTGTGTGTGTGTGGGAGGGAAGCGTGAGAAAGCGAGAGAGATAGTGAGAGAGTGAGAATGAGAGTGAGAGTGAGAGTGAGAATGAGAGTGAGAATGAGAGTGAGAATGAGAGTGAGAGTGAGAGTGAGAGTGAGAATGAGAGTGAGAATGAGAATGTCAGTGCCACTGACTGTAGTGTCTTTAGGCCATTCCTAAAGGGGGGATATTTCTAGTTCAAGCACAGTAGAATTGTCACGCTCATAACTGTGCCTGATCTACAACAGGGAACTGCTGCTTTTTCTTTCCTAATCCTTGCTATTGTTATTTTCCTCTACTTCTTTTGTATGTTTGTCACTCTTTTGAGACCTGCTACTTCCGGGGTGCCTTGATAGTTGAGGCAGACCTTGTGCTGTTGAAGCTAGAGAGGTGAGCAGAGTAAGTCTGATTCCATGTAAAGACTTCTCTGTTGACACCGAACCCTTGGCGCTCATATGACCTAATGCAGTTGCGAGCGCCGTAAATCCCTCTACTATTTAAAACATTTTTAAAATAATCTTCATTGGGTCGAGAGTGCCATAAAACGCCTACTCAATCAATCAAAACCTCTAATCGTCGGAATTTTTATGACTTTATTGTGAAGCAAGTGCCGTAAAACGCTTATGAAGTGGGTGGTTGGCGGGTACTTTGGTAGGTGTGGTTTGCTTCTTTTTTCCTATCGAACATCTATCGTCCTGATCTCCTCCTTTTTATGTTTTTTACTCTCCTGTAACATCTAATCTTCGGCACTTATATGACCTTATTGTGTTGCAAGTGCTGTAAAACTTACTAAAACTACAACTAAAAGCTCTTACGAAAAAAAGTACCTCGTAAAATAGTTACAGCAAAACGTGGTGAAGCAAAAAGCCACCAGAAGATGCAGGGTTGTGAAGAGAGTTTCACTCACGCACCGTGTGTTTTTCTTTTTCAGGGCGACAAGATGAGCTCCCTGCTCCTGGGAACGAGGTAGCGGCCCTGGAGGTCGTGGTCGGCCCTGCACCTCTTCCTGTTCTTCCTGTACCTGCTGCCTTACCTTTGCCTCTCGATCCTGTACCTGCTGCCTTACCTTTGCCTGTCGATCCTGTACCTGCTGTCTTACCTTTGCCTGTCGATCCTGCACCTATTGCAGGTGACTTTCCTGTCGATCCTGCACCTGGTGCAGGTGACCTTCCTATCGATCCTGCACCTGTTGCAGGTGATCTGCCTCTTCTTCCCTTTCCTCTGCCTGTCAATCCTGCTCCTGTTGCAGGTGATCTGCCTCTTCTTCCCTTTCCTCTGCCTGTCAATCCTGCACCTGTTGCAGGTGATCTGCCTCTTCTTCCCTTTCCTCTGCCTGTCAATCCTGCACCTGTTGCAGGTCATCTGCCTCTTCTTCCCTTTCCTCTGCCTGTCAATCATCTTCCTCTGCCTGTCCGTCATCTTCCTATTGCAGTAGACCACGCACCTCCAGGTGCCGACTACGCTCCCCCTGTCTGGCCAGGAAGAAATATACCAGGGATGTTTCCCGTGCTCATTGCGGCACCAGCTGCCTGGCATCCACACGCTCCACCACCTAATGGGGTAAGTTTTTTGTTTTGATGGAAATGGTTTGGATTTTTTTTTCTTTTTTTTTCTTTTTTTATATTGTTTTCATTCCCTCTTTTTTTGGTTTTCTTGTTTCTTTTAGAGGTAAGAGATTTACTGCTACTGCAACTGCATTAAGGTCACAGGAACGTGAGGGACTCCAACGTAGTTTACTGTATGGTTGAACTTGAGAATTCGTGGTCAAAATCCAATAGTAACAACAGACATTTTTATCGTTTTGTATAACAGTATTATCCGTATTTTTACATTAAAGATAAAAAATGGAGAATTCTGTTAGGACCAACGACGGAGAACAATTTCTTCGAATCAGTGCTTTTAAACTAGTTCCTTCAGGTCTGTCCAAAGTCTGGTAAATTCCAGGTGGTCAGATGGGCAGCGCATCTGACACAAGATTAATGTTCCAATCTTCCCCATGGCTCTTGGCAACCTGTTGTTTCCCGTTTTTATTCAGATAGGAAGTCCGCTTCTAAATGTAAAAACACATAATTTAAATAATAATGATAATGATAATGATAATGATAATGATAATGATAATGATAATAATAATAATAATAGTAATAATAATAATAATAATAATAATAATCATAATCATAATAGTATTCATAGTCATAGTAATAATAATAATGATAATGATAATAATAACAATAATAATAATAATAATTATTATTATTATTATTATTATTAATATAACTATAATAATAATAATAATAATAATAATAATTTTTCTTTTTCTTCTCCCACAGCCCTTCAACTTCTTTGTCATCAACCTGACAGCCAGGGACATGATGGACTTCCTCGGGCAGCAGCAGCAGGGACGGGGAGCGTTTGTGCCAGCACAAAGGAGATACTTTGCTGAAGCAGACAGGAGACTGCATCTCCCTCCTGTCCCTCCTCTCCCTCTCCCTCCTCCCCCTGCTCCTGCTGCTCCTCACGCCGGCGTTCAGTCTTAAACTTTTTTAAGTAATTATGATGGTGTGTGTGTGTGTGTGTGTGTGTGTGTTAAGTAATTATGATGGTGTGTGTGTGTGTGTGTGTGTGTGTGTATGTATTTGGTGTGTGTTACTAGTTACATGAAACGATTTATTTGGTGTGTGTTACTAGAGTTACGTGAAACGATGTAATTGTTACTTGTTACACGAAACGGTGAAGCTGTTATTACAGTTACTGTTACTAACTACAGTTATTGTTACTAGAGTTACGTGAAACGATGTAATTGTTACTTGTTACACGAAACGGTGAAGCGGTGAAGCTGTTATTACAGTTACTGTTACTAACTACAGTTATTGTTACTAGTTACATGAAACGCCGTAGAGCTGTTACTAGATATACATGAAACGCCGTGGCTGTTACTAAAACGCCGTAGTTGTTACTAGACTTACCGTTACTAGAGTTAAATGATGTTACTAGACTTACTGTTACTACAGTTACATGAAACGCCGTAGTTGTTAGTTACATGAAACGCCGTAGTTGTTACTAGAGTTACTGTTACTAGAGTTACATGAAACGCCGTGGCTGTAACTGTTACTAGAATTACTGTTACTGGAGTTACATGAAATGCCGTAGCTAGCAAGGTTTAGAGCAAGGGTGTAGAGGTTCTATGTATGGGACTCTATGTACTCTTGGCTCTCTTCATTTGTCGGCCCATAGATCGCAGCTGCAGAGAAACTTGTGCGGTGTCGCAGTCAGACACGCGAGAGATGTGAGTTATAATCTGTAGTGGTGCAAGGAGAGGTTTTGTGGGGGAACTCCACGTCGTCTTTCGGATCAGATGTTGGTTGTGGGTGGTTGGCGGGTGCTCTGGTGTGGTTTGCTTTTCTATCAAACATATATCGTCCTTTTTTACCCCTTTCTTTTTTTTTTTTTTTTTTTTTACTCTTGTAACACCTCGATTCTTCTGACGCTCATTTGGCCTTATGCAGTTGCGAGCGCCGTCAAACCTCTACTAAAACAAACAAGACGTCATCGATTTCTTTTATGTAGGCACGTTGTGCTGGGTGGTGTGTTGGTAATCGCATGAGATGTCCGAACCAATTGATTCTTTGGTGTTGTATGTGATGCATGACATCATTTGCGCCCACCATTTCTCTGATGACTGTTTTTCTAATTTTGTCTCGCCTGGTCTTCTTTACTGCTTTTCTTTGTAAATTCTGTTTTCTTCCCCTGCAACTACTTTTGTGTAGCAACATGCACGCTATGAAGTGTGGGAATTCGCCTTTCTGATTTCTGTAAGTTTATTCAGTGTTTAAGGCCATGGGCCCTCATCACATCACATAAAACACTCATTTGATAAAAGTTTCCATAATGAATAAGTACAGGTTGTGCACATATCTCTTATCATGGGTCAAACATTGCTTATTTCTGTCACTAGGCCGAGTCAGGCTGGGAGGGATCAACAATTTCCTTTGAAGGACAAAGTGTGAACAAAAGAAAATAAGTGAAATTCATCTTCAGTTTCATGAGAGTTACACCTCTCACATAAGGGAGAATTCGTTAATTTCCACTGGTAGAGATTATTTAATGGAAGGCTATGGTTTTTTAAAACAAAGCTATGACTCTTCTGCTCCAATACCGTGGGAGGATGGTGATATATCCAGCTGTTTCTGATGTCTGTATAACGCTTTGAAATGGGCTGCGAAGTTTCTATTGGCCTAGAAGTTAAGGTATTGGCATCTCATTCAAAGGTCCCGGATTCGAATCCGGGTAGCAACCGAAAAACTGTTCTTCTCTAAATTGTCTCCTTTCACTTCCTTTCCAGCTTTCTAGCAATGTTCTGTTGTCTGCTTTCGTCTCCTCTTTCTGTCCCCACTCCCTCATCTCCTTTGTCCCCCCCCCCCCTCCTCTGGGCTCCTGATTCTTTCTACAGCCTTTCTACTGCTACTCCTTGGCTTCTTCTTACTGCTGTCTTTCAGCAACACCCCTGATCTTCTTGTAGGAAAGATCTACACCTAGCCTTCTCGGACAAGGGCAAAAAATCTCGGAGGGCCCGTGTACAAGTTGCGCACGTTAAAGATCCCTTGGTGGTCTAACATCGATAAGAGTAGGCTTCGGCCGCCACCTGGGCAAAATTCAAAATTTCCTACCAACTGAAAAAGTTTAATGTGTCTCGTTCGCTCATGTGACCTTATGCAGCTGCGAGCGCCGTAAAACACTTACAAAAACAAACAAAATCTAATCTTCGGCACTTATATGACCTTATTGTATTGCAAGTGCCATAACTCTTACTCCGCTCTACTGCCCCAAAGTCTCCCCGCCCCTCCCAGGAAATTCAACATCTCTCTGTGCTGGAGTCTGTGGACATCTCTGTCTGTGGACATCTCTGTCTGTCGACATCTGTCTGTGGACATCTCTGTCTGTGGACATCTCTGTCTGTGGACATCTCTGTCTGTGACGTTGATGACAAAGTAGCTGAAGACGTGTGGGAGAAAATATTATATATCTACACCAATTTTTTTCTATTTTAACGTTTAAGATCAAATAACCCGTACACAGCCGTGCAGTGAACTACGTATAAAAAAACTAACTTGTGTTTCGGCGCTCATTTGACCTTATGCAGTTGCGAGCGCCGTAAAACCCCATACTAAACTAAAAAAAACTTTTAAAAACTAACTCTTTCTAGGGGGCTCTCGGGGCCTAGAGGTTAGGGTGTTTGCCTCCCATTCAAAGGTCCCGGGTTCGAATCTGGGTAGCGACCGAAAACTTTTCTTCTCTAAAATTGTCTCCTTTCACTTCCTTTCCTGCTTTCTAGCAATGTTCTGTCATCTGCTTTCGTCTCTTCTTTCTGCCTCAACTCCCTTATCTCCTGGGCTCCCTCCTCTTTCTGCAGACTCTTTCTGCAGCCTTTCTACTGCTACTCCTTGGCTTCTTCTTACTGCTGTCTTTCAGCCACACCCCTGATCTTCTGGTAGGAAAGATCTACACCTAGCCTTCTCGGACAAGGGCAAAAAATCTCGGAGGGCCCGTGTGCAAGTTGCACGTTAAAGATCCCTTGGTGGTCTAAAATTGATAAGAGTAGGCTTCGGCCGTCACCCGTGCAAAATTCAAAATGTCCTACCAACTGAATATTTTTAATATGCCCCGCGCGCTCATCTGACCTTATGCAGTTGCGAGCGCCGTAAAACGTACCAACCCCCCCCCCTCCCCCCTCAGCTTCTCCTACGCTGTGTCTTCCTTCATCACTCACTCCACAAGCACCTCAAAGAACTGACGTTCAGGAACACACCGTTATGATCCCTACCATATTCTGGCATGATACCAACTCAGCTAAAGATGCTCAAAAGAAAGCCCCAAGGGGAGAAAGATGCAAAATGGGTGGGTGGGTGGAAAGGAAAACAAGCAGGAGTTTTCAAACATAGGTTAACTAGGCACTTCAGTGAAGTTTTCAAACTTCTCCAAGGGCACTGAAATTAGGAGTATAGGATAGAGCGTGGCTTTCTGTTTCAGAGACTTTTTTTAATGTTTGTGCTATCTTTGTTAGTCCAGAATCAGCGGCCATTTTTGTGAATCAGTTTTCCGCCCTGGATTCTGCCAAATTTTTGTACTTCATTTTGTGCCACCAAATTTCCAAATCAAATCTTTGTTTCAAAAGCCGTCCTAAAAATCCCTTAACCTCCTATCCCGTACCGCCCCTGGGGGCCATTTTTGTAGGCCCCTGGGTTGTA